TTTTTGTAATTATTTGAGTTTTCCACATTTTTTTGTTTTCTTTTTTTAAAAATTCCCTTTTTGCATAATGTAGACATTTTTTACACAATAGTTACCAAACACAAAAAAAAATGAAAAACGAAAATGCATCATACAAAAAGAAGATTTCCAAATAAAAGATGAAAGCGGATACACTTGAAATTCGAATTGAAAATTTCGTATTATAAAAGAATTGAACACAGATATCAAAGAATCAAAAAAAAAATGAAGAAAAAAAAATAGTTTTTTTTTTTTTTCGGATATTTTGGAAACTCCTAACTACCAAAAATATAAAAATTATGTTTTACGGTCTCTTAAAAGATTCGTGGAACTGATAGATTTTTCTATTTTTCCAAGTTCTTTTTTTTTTGCTTCCTAAAATAAAATTTTTCTCATTCGGTTTTTTCTTCATGTTTTTCTTTTTGGTGACACATTATTCCTTTACAATCTATAACATGACTAAGTTTATCAATAACATGACTAAATAAATTACATACTATTGTATAGTATCATTTACCTTCCAAAACTAAAAGTTAGTTCATAATTTCCTTTCTTTTTTTTTTCCTTCTTCACTCCTAGGAGGAGTATAGGGCTAGTGCATGATATCTATCATGCCCTAGTTTCTATAGTCATAGAGAGTTAGCTAGGTAGGTGACTAGCCTACCGTAATTTCCTTTCTTTAGTAACTGAAAATTATGTAGGTAATTGAAGAGGTAAGTGGACAAAGGGGTTAACTTATATTTGCATCTTAACATTTCTTTTTCATTAACAAATTGCAAAAATATTAATTTTTTTGTTTCTTAGCTCCTATATGCACTGTCAACCTCGTCTTCTATTAAGTTTCTAGCTATAAGAGTAATCACATTTAAAAACATATAAAATTTAATGATCAGCTCGACTTTCGTCAAAATGTAAGTTAACCCCTTTGTTCACTTACCTCTTCAATTATATTCAAGTAAACCTACTTTTTTCTACAATTTGTTTTAATTTAAACATTTTATTTCATATTAAATTTTCAGGATTCAGGAAAAATTCAGGAGAACAAAACTTCTACGTTTGATAACAACTGGAAAGTGTGTACTTAATGCAGCATTCCAAAGAAAAGAAAACAAATTTGAGTGTAGGTTACCATTCCGCTCCTCAACTCTGTATACTAGTCCAGTACGGCGGGTTTCCCAAACTAGAATCGAAAGCCTGAAAAGCAGAACCTACACCTTATAATATACCTATACAAGTATCCATTTTCACTTCCTTAACAGTTACATTACATACAAAGTACAAGTATATATTTTTATTTTATTTTTTTAAATTGTGCAAAATATATACCATCACAATAAAGAGAGATACGAATATATAAAAAAAAAACAAGAAAATCTGGAAAATAAAAAAAAGTCTACAATAAAAGATAAAAAAAAGATACATGGAAAACCATCACCGTATACTATGAATTTGAAACATGAAAAGATGAAAATAGAAATATTATTACAGGAGACTGCATTGCAGCTATTTCCAAAAGATTACGTTTGGCTTTTTGAAAATGAATAAGATGAATTTTCCATAGATTTCTCTCTTATTATATACTTATATTTTTTTTCCTCATTATTTTCTTCTTTTTCTCATTTTGTTGCTATTTTGCGCACAAGAAGAATACATTTTAAAACTCAAGCTTGAGCAAAACAAAAAACAAAACAAAAACCTAGGAAGAATCTTTGGAAAAAGTTCTAAAACTCTTTATATTTAGTAAAAAAAAAACAAGAAAAAAAAGAAGAAAAGAAAAGAAAAAAAAAAAAATTTTTTCCTAATTTTTCTATATTGAAAAGACTACACTTCTATACGTTCTACACTACAAAGAACGTATAGAAGAAAAAGTATAGAGGAAGAAAATAGGAGAAAAGAATAAAAATTCATGCAATATAATAGATTTGTTCAAATGATGGCCTTAATACGTCTCGGTGCACTTCAAAGCAAGTACAGAGGTAGAAAAAACAAGAAAAAAAAATGCGAATAAGAAAAACTATGTACAACTGTAAACACATCCATAAACACAGATGCATCCGTTATAAATGATAGAAAATTTTTAACAGATCATAATTTTTAATGCACATACAACAAAAATTGTAAATTTATTGAATTTTTATTTTATAAACTTTGTAAATAGAGAGTAGAAACCATAAAAAGAATGTCCAATTTACATATGTGCTCCTTCAGGATTTCAATAATACTTATTTTGAATGATAATTTGAATAAAAACAATAAAAAAAAATGTTCAATAAGATGAAACCATGGAAAATGTTCCATGACAAAATAAAGATGTACCACAGTACCACCAATATGCTTAAAAAGGTGGAAATGGAAAGGAAGGCCCATATGAAGCCTTTGTCTAAAGGGCAAACAAGAGCCGCAGAAAATGATATGGCTGTGAGGTGAGTCCAAATAAATCTACAGCATGCTAGAGCATCTACTGATGTTCTGGCACATAGATTTGTGAAGAATCACCTCGATATCGCACTTATCCAAGAGCCTTACATAGTGAAGGATCAGGTTTAGTTCCTTACAGGTGAGCTATTGAATGGTAATACAATTGGAGGCAGGCCTAGGTCTAGCATTTTGTTTATTAAAAGACTAACACATCTTCCCATTGCAGATTACTGCCTCAAAGATCAGGTAGCAGCGTTGGTGAAGGTGAAGTCTTCCGAGGGTTCGACAGAGCTTATTGTATGCTCATCCTACCTGCCGGGAGACTGTGTCCATCCAGACGAACAACTTAAAGACCTAGAGGATTTTTGTGGAAGGAGGGGCTTCCAACTGATAATAGGAAGTGATGCCAATGGCCGGGCAGAATAAATGTATCGGGTGGCCCAATCCACGGATTGGAGTCAATTCGAAACGCTCCTCATGGATGGGATTGGATTCATTCCTACTTCTGTCAGATCGGTGATGGATATCGTACTGTCCAGCGAGGCCTTGATGGTGGGTATTACCATTGGAGCTGTTGCGCTAAGCCGAGGTGGAGTAAGAGAAGGTGCCCGTGATAGAATGAAGAACTTTCAAGGTTTAGACTATGGACCAGAAAGCTATTCAATAAGGCCAAGGCGTTGGGCTCGCAGGAGGAGTATAAGGGACACTCACGAAATGCAATAAAGAAATTAGGAAAGCTAAGAGAAGTTCGTAGAGCGCGTTCTGCAGGGGCATTGATGAACTCCCCAGCAGTCCACATCTTCACAAGGTGCTTTCCAAAAAGTATGCTAGCGGGTTGGGTCTGACGAAACGGCCTGATGGCTTCATAACTCCGGCCTCAACGCATTTTCCTGACTCGGAGATTCTTCGAAATCACTCAAATGCGGTCATTGAACCGAGGGCATCCGGGCCCAAGAGGGATGACTGACTACAATCCCGTTTAGTCTTCACGATGGGCAGGATTAGATGGGCTGTTTTCTCTTTTAGTCTCTTTAAATCTCCAGGTGATGACGGGATATATCTTGCGTCTTTGCAGAGGGGTTTCCAATATATAGCTAGAAAACTGTCGGAAATTTTTTGTGCCAGCTATGTGAAAGTGAAGGCAGGTAAGCGACGACGCAACCACGTCCCATAAGCCGTCTTTCCATCCCATCAGCCTTACTTCTTTTCTATTGAAAGCAATGAAAAAGGGATTAATGGATTCATACGGGACGACGCACTGGGAATCAATACCTTGCATAAGAAGGCCTACTGCACTCGCTCTGCAGAGTCTGGTAGAGGTCCTTGAAAACTCATTGAATGTGCAGAAGGGGGCGGTTGGCTGCTTCCTGAATGTTGTGGGAGCTTGCGGAAACACTTCATATCATGTCATCTGTGAGTCGTTGCACAAACGAGAGATAGATTGCGACGACTAGCAGATGGGTTAATCGGATGCTACAGGATAGGATTATTAAGTCCAGCATAACTGGCGATAAACTCTTCATCTCCGTTGCAAAAGGGTGTCCGCAGGCCGGGATTCAAGTTGGCCCACAGGACTCACAGAGACTTCATTGAGAGCGATCCGATTCTAAGAATAACCATGTCGGATGCGTCTCTGCCGTGGTATAGCTTTGAACGCAGTTACAGGGTTCTGTTTTCCGATCGGGGTGGCCCGGTACTTGAGTCGGGTTCGTGCGTGTGGTATGCAGATGGGTCCAAAACGGAGGTGGGCGTGGGTTGTGGTGTGTACGATGTCCGCCCGGACACGCATTTATATGCAATCCTTGACCCATATTACGTGGAGTTCCAAGTCGAAATATATGCAATAGAGATCTCTTTGAGAATCAATTTAGAAAGGAAATAAAAAAACCTTGCCATCTATGTGTTCTCGAACAGCAGGGCTGCATTGTTAGCGCTTCATTCGGCTTACGTTACATCCAAGCTGATTTGGGACTGCCTCGCTGCACTTGTGGAATTGACATCGGAGAACAGAGTCACGCTCATTTGGATGCCGAGCCGCAGTGGTCATGCGGGCAACGAGATTGCCGGTGGGTTGGCGCGGAGCGGATCTGGGGCCGACTTTGTGCAGCCGCTGCCTTTCTGTGTTATGCCTTCTTCCGTCGAGGCGGCCAGGCTTGCATGCCTGCTTGCGGCGAAATGCGGTCTTCACTGGCGGGGCACGAAAGGGTGTCGTCATGCGAAGGTGTTTCTTTCGGCGTGCTCCAACGGACTCACCGCAGAGCTGCTTAGGATGAGCTGCAGCCGGGTTCTCGCTATTGCGAATTTCTTTACGGAACACTGCCCACTGAGGCACCACCTGCACAGGCTGAAGAAGTCGCGCTCCCCCTGTGCAGATTTTATGGGGGCGGTGACGAAAACGCAGTGCACATCTTTTGCGACTATCCAGCACTGGTTGTTCCAACAGTTTCTTGAGCATTAGCATTGTAAAAGGTAATAATATTTTCAATATAATTAATTTCTATACAGCACCCAATGAAATTATTTCAGAATTCAAAATATTTCTAAATAAATTTGAAGAATACATTATGAGTACAAGTTTTAATTTTGACACTTACATCACAGGAGATCTATTAAATGAGTGTAAGGCGGCATACCAATGGGGCAAGGTTTTTCAAGCGTGAATTTGTGACATTTTTGGAAGTATTTCGTGCTAATAAAAACTTTCATGCAAATTTTTATAAAATAGTGTGACAAAACTTATGTTTTGACATTATTTTTTTCAAATTGTTGAAGATTCATATATATAAGAAAATATAAAAGGAAATGATGAAATTATTGTTACAAATATTTTTTGAATTTGCAATATCCTGAAATTATAAAAGGTAAATTATAAAATATGATTCATATATGTAAACTTATGAAATATATAAGATATATAGAAGACATTATGTAATGTAGAATTAGACTTGAATAATGCAGTTAGTAATTTTCTACAAAAAAAAAAGAAATTTTGTACACCTTGAATGAATAGAATTTGTATGGAAACACAAAATAAGCAATTATTACCGTTCAATTAAATTTAAATTATGGTATGTCACAGTAGAGTGTACACGAGTTATCAAAAATAATAAACATTTTTCCTTATTTATCCTTAAGCAATTTATTTTTAATTTTATATTCGAATGCAGTAAGGTGAAGTTTGAATAAGTATAGAAAATCTGTGTGATAGAATTATTTCTTTCATTAAATGTATTTATACTAGATTGACATTAGAACAGTGCAAAAAGGAATGCGACAAGCGATTAAAACTTTATTTTAATAGAAGTGAAAAGTTACCAAGCCTCATTACTTCCACGTTACTGTCATTCGTTACCGTCCTTTAATAGCATATGCCTATATGCTTTTCTACATTAATCTCTTTCATTTGTAGAACTATTTAATTCTACAATGTTTACAATTGATTCGTATTAAGTAAAATATTTGCTACATTGGCGATGAGCTAAATTTTAAATCAAATTTACAAACAACTCAGAATATAAATTGAAAAATGTATTCAAGGTAATAAATTTATTCAAGGTGATAAATTTTTTAGTCTCTCCCATTATTTTTTTTTTTAAACAACAACCTAACATTAAACTACTGGTTTACAAATTAGCACATTTGACTTTATACATAAAGTTGTCTTAAATATGAGCATTTTTGTAAGGAATTCATTAATCACGAGGCTGAAAAACGAACAGGATAAAACTATCAAGCGAATTTCCTCAGAAACGTACTTATAAAATATTTTCCAATGTAAAAAATAAATTCTTCATTTATCCATAAATATTTTATGTCACTAAAAATGTAATAAAAATTCATAAAAATTGTGAAAAACAAAAAAAATTACAAAATTGATACAAAATTGTGCGTATTTCTAGTATGTTTGTAAGTTTGAGAATATTTTCTTATATAACCTTGTTTTTCGCATTCTTTACAAAACATATTTACAAAATATTCAATATAAGCAACCAAACTAAATAGGAATGATCTAATCACGACAATGACAATAGATTCACTGTATTACATATGAAATGAAATGCGTATGACATATGTGACACATATGTGTACACATAAGCACATAAGCACACATATTCATGAACAATAATCGATAAAAATACAAAAATTCCTTTTCCTTACATTTGTTTTTTACGTTCGCATTTTTTATTACTTTATTTGCAAAATGTAACTATTACCAAGCGAGAACAATTCAAATTCACTCAGGGAATAATGAAATCACAGTTATAAGGTGGCAAAATAATAAAAACAAAAAAAAAAGAATAACATGATAATATTAAAATTTTTTGCATTATCCTTGAACGATAATTGATTTCATTGTAAATTTGATTTTTATCTTTTCCCCAATTACTTGTATTTTTCGTTGTTTTCATTTTTATGATAAATTCAAATATATTATGTGTAAAGTGTTTTGATTGATTCAAAACACTTTACACATAAACTCGAAAGAAACAAATTTAGAAAAAAATATCGTTAGTTTGAATAAATCTTTAATATTTTATTTCAAATGTAGAAATTTTTGCACCAAATACAAAAAGTTTTGCTTCAAATAGAAAAATGTTTGCTTCTGTTTAATTTATTCATTTCGTTTGCTCAACAGAGCTGCCAGATACGACTGGCTGCCAAGCGAAATATGGACCCACAAACAGCAGTTGAACTCATTCATCCCCACATAAGAAACAATTGGGAAACCGAAACAATCCCTAAAACATGGAAGAAAGGCGTTATAGCCAAGATTCCCTATCAGAAACGCGGCCTATCAAACTGCAATAATTGGAGCACCATCACATTACTAAACACAACATATAAAATCCTAACAGGAGCAAACAAAAGTTGCCTGGACCAAACGAATACCCCTCGTATAATTGTGGAACAAGCACATGAATGGATAACACATTTATGCCTCATATTCGTTGATTTCAAGAAGGCTTTCGACTCCATTCATAGAAATGCAATACGGAAAGCTTTAGAAAAAATGAGGAAAAATGAGAATGTTCCAAGGAAAATAATCAACATCATGATGAACATGTATGAAAATGTGTAACTTTCAGTATTACATAATAGGAACATTAGTGAATCATTATGTAGGTGTTAAGCAAGGATGTCCGCTTTCGCCGCTAATATTCATCATAGTATAAGATGATGTCTTGAGGGAAGAAAGCAGTATTTAAAGAGGCATCTATTGATCGGATGATAAAAATCTGGGAGACCTTAACTTCGCAGACGACATATGTCTAATATCTAGCAATTAAGAAGATGCGCAGTCCAAATTCAATCTCTAGCTAGCATTCCGAAATCTAAGTCTAGAAATTAATACCAACAAAACCAAAGTAATGTACATACAATCAAGCTAGACGGCCAAGCCATTGAATGCACAATTATCTGCGAAATATTCTGGTCGAACAGAATTAGGAACAAAGACTTATGGCAACTAACAAACGAAGAGCCTATAATGAAGCAAGTTATCCGAAGAGAATGGAAGTGGATTAGTCATACATTAAGAAAAGAAGAATTCATAACAAGAATGGCGCTGACCTGGAATACTCTAGCGAAGTCCAGGCCAAGAGGTAGACTCAGAACAACTTAATGAAGAACAGTGCTGCAAGAACTAGATAGATACAAACTCTCGTGGGATAAAGTAGAAGAACTAGCGATGCACAGAGAAGAATGGAAACTTTAAGTTGAAGCCCTAAACTCCCAAGTTGCGGAGTAACAGGAATAAAAAAAAACAAAATTCCCATTGCTCACATAATATACAATGAAATTCAAGAACCATATTTCATTATTATCACAAACAATATAATTAATTATATAATTATATGCAAAAGTGAAAAATTGTTAATAGTATATCACATGAAAATTTTCAAATTATTAATCATATTGTTTTAATTTTAATATTCGAATTATTAATTTTCAAAAACTTCTCAACAATTATAATCTATATTATACAATACACGTCTACTTTTAACAAAAGCATAAATTATTTGAAAACGCTTAGCTCTAAATATAGCTCTCTACATAAACTTAATGTTAAATTGGAAATGGCTTATCTTATACATTGTTATACACGAATATTATTTTCATATTACACAACTCATACAATATTTTATGCAACGTACCTACTATATATTATATACGTAATATATGCGCGTATATACACGAACTATACCTACTTGAATAAATATAAATGCTGAATTGTATACGTACGTTTTATAGCGATTACATATATAAAAGCGATTAAATTAAATATAAAACAATAATAGAAAGAGAAAAGGATTCTCAGTTCAATATAAAAACTCTCTTGTCAATGAGAATAAATTTATATTCATGAGTTACACTCATCATATTAGTAACAACACATATGTATGCACATACATTCACTGTATTATGGTGTATAAGCATACGGTAAGAACATTTTTATTCAAGATTAACGTAGGCAGTATAAAATTTACAGTTATCTATTTTTTGTTTTCATTCAATATGCAAAATATGTAAACACGTTTCCTTTAGCACATTTTATTATTGTACATATAGATATATACAAAAGCAATTTTCCATTTTCATTTTATTGTTATTATTATATATTATTAGTATGTGTGCATATGTTTGTGTAAAAAGTAATTTCCTTTATATGTCATTGTTATAATAGAAATTTTGATTTTATTCAATAAATTACCGATTGTTAAAATTTATTGATTTGGTTTTTATTATATGAAAAACACAAGAGTAGAAAATTATTATTTTCAGTTTTGTGAACGATTACATATGTAGTAGGTACGGCTAGTTTATAATACTCTCATATAAATATAAAAGATTGTATATGTGTTATACTATTAAAAACAAGAAAACAATAAAATAATGGACAAAAAATTGTAATAAAATGGAAAATGAAAACAAAATAATAATAATAAAAATTTCCTCTTTTTTTTTTATTTTTTTTTGTTCTGTATAATCATCATAATCTCTGAAGCGGGAAATTAGGAAAAATATAGATACTTACCTATAGAATAGAAAATCATCGTATCGTTAATTATTCGGCGTTTCAAAATAAAATTACCTACACCTAGAGCTACATAATCTACAAAGTATAAATTGTATTAAAAAGTTTTAAAAGTTTTATGTATGGAACAACGATTTTGTGAGGATAAAATATTGTTATATAGGTGTATCGAAAACTCTTAAATTATAAATGAAAAAACATGAATGAAAAATTTGTATCATACCTGTTTGAGCCAATAATAATAGTCATTTGTAATAAAGTACATATAATGTTAAATAGATCTTTGGAAATTATATAGAATTTAACGATTAAAATTAATAATATCAGAAAAAAAAACAGAAAAACTGAAGAAAATAATATTAAAATGTTCAAAATTTTCATGATGCCTTCTGGATCACGGATATAAATGTAAGAGTTTTGAAATAAATCACTTTTTTAATCGATTTGAATTGTAATTGAAAAAATTATTATATGACTTGACATTTTAAACTTGTCATATTTGATTAAGAAATATTGATTTGGCAATACGATTGTGTTATATTTAATTATGACATAATGACTATTCAAATTATTGAGAATGAGTGTGACATACGACACAGGATTATATTTCAAGTTTCACCAAATAAAGGCTTAATTTTCAGTTAAAATAGAAATTCACCATGAAGCATACTACACGTAAACGGTCCAATTAATTACCGCCACTGAAATTAGCCCAAAAAGAATAACGATCTGTATGAATTATGACATGTAATTTATAATATTCACGACACTCTTATAAGTTCAACCATATTTTAAAGCCAAATTCAACATTATTACAAATTTGTAATATAACACTATTTAATTACATGCTTATGAACGCATTACGATTAAAGCCAATTAAAAGACTGAACACAAATTGTATATTCAATAAAATTATAATTTTATTTAATGATTAAAACACCAAATGATTATTGTACTTGAAAAAAATCCTAGATTTTAGTATTCAGAATCTAAAAATAAAATCCTTTACAAATATGAATGCAATAGAAATTGCAATAACCGGAAACTTTGCCACATATTTCACTATAACTGCAATTGCATTATTGATGTTTCAAAATAAAAATTCAATAGAATCTTCTACTTTTTATCTGTATTCTCCAATACCACCTGTCTGGAATATAAATATAGAACGCATACTAGCTACATACATATATAAATTTATATTTTTCTCATTTTGAATTTTTAATTATTTTATTGTCAAGGTTCACATGCACATAAATTCATAATATATGGACTTTAAACATTTTTAAAAGATTTCTTTGAAAAACTCAAACAAAAACGATGTATAACAGTTTTGCCATAAATTTATAAAAAAAAAATTATTATCCTTGAGACAAGAGCTTTAATAATAATTTAACAATATTTTTTTATATACTTTTTAGTGTTTATAATTATCTAAGTGCATCATTTCATTTAAAATGACTCTTTTGGAGCAAAAAAATCTGTTTTAAATGTTTTCAGTAATAGAATGAATTTTCTTTTTCATTTTTATCTTAAAAGCAAAAAAAAAAATTTGTAATTTTCAATTTTAATAGAAAAAATTCACATTTAAATGGGTTTTATGCGTCTATGGACATGACATACATTTTAAAAATAATGTGTGATAAATGAATCGTTTAATAGATTTAAGTAATATAACACTTAAAATTTATTGTACCCAGAATTATGCAAGATATTTTTGCTCTAAGATCATCGCTTAAGACTACGGAGAACCTCATGAATAAGTTAGACAATTGCATTCGCATTATATACCATTAAATAGACCTTAAATCTTGATACGGTAGGCTCGTCACCTACTTAGTAAACTCAATAACGTTAGAAACTGGTTCATGGTTATCTATGATATTCTAGATGATACCAGGCCTATGCTCCTCCCAGGAGAGAAGTGTGATAAAAAACAAATCTTAGTAGCCTGATATACATAGTCAAATCTAGACTGGTAGGGGGGAGAAGAGGGCCTTCAGAATGTTACACTAGGTATATAGTATAACATTCTGCTGCGTTGCGGGGCACAATAACGTCAGAACACGTGAGAAAACTGGCAATCTGTCCAAATAGAGGACGGAGATCCGACATAACGACAGTTGACTGTTTGGTGCTTCCGCCATTGAGAGAGTTGAGAAACATCGTAAATAAGGAAAATGGAGAGAAGAAGGGGAGTTCGGCGTGCAGACCTGTGGCCGAAGAGAGACAAGCCGACAATTAGTTTAAACATTACGACGAGTTTTAATAAATGATATAAAAAGAGACTGACTTTTAGGAAGGATTTCAAGTAGGCTGGATATTTCACCATCGAATATTTGTCGTCTTGCGGTTCCCGAGACGTTGCCGTGGTAAAAGACTTGCAACTTGTGTTCTATGAGTTTTCTAGTCACCTGCAGAGAAAAGGATGTTCTTTGAGTGAATAATTGCTTCAAGAAATTTATCCGCTTAATTTCTTAAGATACTTATAGTGATTCTTATGCTTATTCTCAAGATATAGTGAAGAAGACAGCTTTATTGAGAAATGCTAATCGATCTACATTTTTGTGAGAAAACCCTTTGTTTGAACTTCCACAGCACATTTGCCGTCATTTAATCTGACAGAAATGACACAATACTAAATATTGTAAAATATTAAGAACCATTAAGAACTGATGTTCCAATATATCGAAATCAGTTAAGCTTTAAGCATCGTAAAATAGCCTTAGATGGCACATCTTGTAGATATACATATTAAATCATTTAGATATAAAATACAAAATGATTTTGAAACATCTTCAAAAATCTTTTTATTGAAACCTTTGAATAATATATTAAATTGAACGTAATTCAATTAATATGGTTTTGAAAATTAAATCAAGTACCAGTCTGAAGGGTCTTGTAAAGGAAAATAAGTTGAATTGGTTCTCAAAACATGGTAATTATAAGAAATGTAATACAAATTCAATTAATTATTCCAAGTATCAAATTAAATTTGCGGAATCTCCAAAGTTAATTCATAAAATTAAAAAAATTGCACCAGC